GAACGTTCATCGAAATAAATTTCTTGTAGTCGAAATGAAACAACCTCTTCTTCAAGTAAAGCCGGTTCTCAATGCTCTTTGTCATGAACTTGTCTTTGAGTGCCTTCCAAAGCTCATTTGCAGTGTCATATTTTGTGAAGGCGTATTTCTTCTCATTTGCAAGGCAAAGTTGGATGGAACTGAAAGCTAGAGATTAACTTTCTCCCACTCAAACTCGTTCAAGCTCTCTGGTTTGTCTCCTAGAGTGAAATGCAGGTTTATCTGGACAAGCATGTCTTTAATTCGTATTTCCAAATATCGAAGTTGCTGCTTCCATCAACCTTTTCTATCTCGAACTTAGTATGGGACACTAGGGTCCAATGCTTAGAGCTGTTTGTAGTTGCTGGGTTATTTGTGGACTCGGTTGATCTCATCTCTGTAGATTCTATCATTTCTTCTCAATAATCTCCACTACAAATAATAACGAATGCTTGAAATGCCTGGAACACGACAAATTCTAAGCTCTCGAAGACTTCGCTCAAACTTTTAGTCTGAATCTCAAAAAACAGAATCTGTGATTGTGTCCGGTAGGGGTGTTCGCGGTTTGGTTTTGGACGGTTCGGTTTACAGTTTGGACCTACCGTATATGTGTGGTTTGGGAAAAATTGAACTCGTAACAGGTCGCAATGCGGTTTGCAGTTTGTGCGGATATGATTCGCGGATGTGCGGACGGCTTGCGGATTGGACTTTGTTCTTTAAAAATTTATTTGTGAGCCTTTTTTTTTTCTTCCTGTTTTGTAAATATTTATTTTTGTCCCTTTTACCCCCATTTTCTAAAATGCTCAACATTAATAATTAATGAATTAAAACTTATAAAATTAAAAACACAACAAAATCAATTTCTAACACTAGCAAATCATTTAAGATCCTAAACTTTTAAATAAAATCATAAACTAATACAAGCACATCTTTCTAAATCCTAGACTAAATAGTAATCAAAATCATTCACTACCCAACAATACAATTAAAGTAAAATCATTTAAAATCCTAAACTTACCTAAAAATAATTCTTCATTAACTTTTCATCCAAAATGCAATAATAAAATAACAATAAATTATTGTCAAACTTCTTCCAATTCAAACCCATTAAATAAAATAAAAATATTTGCAAACTCACAAACCCCATCTAGGATAGGATGAATAAAATCAATGGTTCAGGTTTTTGAAAAAAAAGAAAAAGAAAGTCTAAGTGCGGGCGGGTTAAACCTGCAATCCGCAATAATGTCATATTTCAAATCGCATTCGCTGCATTGTGTTTGCGAAACAACCCATTTGTATGCAGACCTGTTCGGATTGGGCAGTTCGGATTACACTATGCCCAATTCTAGTGTCAGGAACGATTGATTTAGCTAGGAAAGCAATTTCTCCACCTCTCTAAGAACCTTAATGAAATTTCTCCAAATTTGGGGGCCAAAATTACAATTTCCTAGAACTCCAGGGACCTTTTTGCAGTTTATAGAAGTTTCAGGGGCTAAATTCTAATTTTAGCAAAGTAAACTTTTGGCAACACATTTATGTCCGTAAATATTGCCATTTGCCAACGATTTGTTTGTCGATAAAGGTTTACTTTTGGCAATGACAAATTGGCATTGGCAAAAAATACAATTCTAGCAACACAATATGAGTGGGCAAAAATAAACTTTTGACGACACATTTACTAACAAAAATAATTGAAAATAATTTATATATTTTTATAAGATTTACAGATTTACAAGAGGCATCCCTCAGGCACCACTATTACAAACTAATAACATTGATATGAAATCACCTAAAGTTGATGTGCAAGCAAAAAAAACACTACTGATACTGTTTTTAGAAGCAATGTATAAAACCTAAAAAGGTAAAGTCACTAAAATACCCAAATACAACTTTCTCCTACTCAAACTCGTTCAAGCTCTCTGGTTTGTATCATAGAGTGAAATGTAGGTTTATCTGGACAAGCATGTCTTTAATTCGCATTTCCAAATATCGAAGTTGTTGCTTCCATCAAACTTTTCTATCTCGAACTTAGTATGGGACACTAGGGTCCAATGCTTAGAGCTGTTTGTAGTTGCTGGGTTATTTGTGGACTCGGTTGATCTCATCTCCGTAGATTCTATCATTTCTTCTCAATAATCTCCACTACAAACAATAACGAATGCTTGAAATGGCTGGAACACGACAAATTCTAAGCTCTCGAAGACTTCGCTCAAACTTTTAGTCCGAATCTCAAAAAATAGAATCTGTGATTGTGTCCGGTAGGGGTGTTCGCGGTTCGATTTTGGATGGTTCGGTTTACAGTTTGGACCTACTCGTATATGTGTGGTTTGGGAAAAATTGAACCCGTAACAGGTCGCAATGCGGTTTGCAGTTTGTGTGGATATGATTCGCGGATGTGCGGATGGTTTGCGGATTGGACTTTTTTCTTTAAAAATTTATTTGTGAGCCTTTTTTTTTTTTTCTTCCTGTTTTGTAAATATTTATTTTGGTCAATTTTACCCCTATTTTCTAAAATGCTCAACATTAATAATTAATGAATTAAAACTTATAAAATTAAAAACACAACAAAATCAATTTCTAACACTAGCAAATCATTTAAGATCCTAAACTTTTAAATAAAATCATAAACTAATACAAGCACATCTTTCTAAATCCTAGACTAAATAGTAATCAAAATCATTCACTACCCAACAATACAATTAAAGTAAAATCATTCAAAATCCTAAACTTACCTAAAAATAATTCTTCATTAACTTTTATATTCATCCAAAATGCAATAATAAAATAACAATAAATTATTGTCAAACTTCTTCCAATTCAAACCCATTAAATAAAATAAAACCATTTGCAAACTCACAAACCCCATCTAGAATAGGATGAATGAAATCAATGGTTCAGGTTTTTGAAAAAAAAAAAAAAAAGTCTAAGTGTAGGCGGGTTAAACTTACAACCCGCAATAATGTCATATTCCAAATCGCATTCGCTGCATTGTGTTTGCGAAATAGCCCATTTGTATGCAGATCTGTTCGGATTGGGCAGTTCGGATAACCCTATGCCCAGCCCTAGTGTCAGGAACGATTGATTTAGCTAGGAAAGCACTTTCTCCACCTCTCTAAGAACCTTAATGAAATTTCTCCAAATCTGGGGGCCAAAATTACAATTTCCTAGAACTCCAAGGACCTTTTTGCAATTTATAGAAGTTTCAGGGGCTAAATTCCAATTTTAGCAAGATCAGGGACTGAAACGAAATTTCCCAAAGCTTTAGGGGCCTCCAAATTTCAAAATTTTCGGCTGACTGGGATGATGATGTGGCGGATCATGTGACAGTGCGTGGCGTTGATGTGACAGTGACGTGGTAGCTTCCAAAAATAATTTGGAAATTTGTTTATAAAACTTCAGGGACCTTTTTGTAATTTATAGAAGTTTCAGGGGCTAAATTCCAATTTTAGCAAGATCAGGGACTGAAACAAAATTTCCCAAAACTTTAGGGGCCTCCCAATTTCAAAATTTTCGGCTGACTGGGATGATAACGTGGCAGACACGTGTGCTGCTGGGTTGGGCCGATCATGTGACAGTGATGTGGTAGTTTTCAAAAATAATTTGAATATTTGTTTGTGAAGGGTTTTGACCCTTGATCTCAAGGTTTGGGAGCAAAGCTCTAAATACTCTGCCAAGTGGGAACTTGTGTTGTATTGTTGCACAAATGAATACTTAAAGCCTTGAATAGGTTGCCTTCTTCAACCTCTACTTCTTTACCAGTCTGAACTTTCTGGGCAAGTCTCTGGCATAATTCTGGAAAGCGCGTAAAGCGTCCTCTTGGGTTGAGCTTTTCGAGTCTGAACTCCTCTCATTGAGGTAGTCGTTTTGGTAGGCTAAAAACTCTATTTTAACAACTTCGAAATTTTCAATTGCAGAAAATTGCTCTGTTTTTTGCACAACAATACTTTGATACCAATTTGTTGTGCCTAGGAGTTAGAAAATAATCACACACAAACACACAAGCAAAGAACACACAAGTATTTATGTGGTTCGGTAAATCGCCTACATTCATGGGTAGCGAAATCCACTAACATTGGAACAAAGAATTACAAACTCTCTTGTTCTCTCTCTGCTCTCTGTATTATTTCTTTAACTCACTACACTTGAACCTCTTCCATTTACTACCTTTTTATAGATACAATAGGAGAGCCAAAGCCTCCATAGCCATTGACAGGCCACCGACAGCATTTACAATAGCCAACAAGAAGATCTGAAGATCAGCCACCCTACCATAGAGTAGCGTGGCTGAATCTTTAGCCCAAAACTTCAGCTCCTTCATTTGTCAATTAGCAGTTATTGTTGATTTTGGTAAATCAGAGCCAATCTTCAGCAATTTCGCCTATTGATTTTAGTCCAATTTCTAAAGAGAGTTATCAATTTGATTAAATTAACAGTGTGAAAAATTTAAGAGTCAAATTAATGCAATTAGATTTATAAGGGCCAATTAACATAAAGGACAAACTACAAAAATTACAGGTTGCCTTTTTTTATTTTTATTTCTTTTTTTTCTTTTCCTTTCTTTCATTGGGTTCAACAAGGGTTGTTTTGTAAACAAACAAGATACATGTTTGATTGATCCAAATAAATCTTACTTGATATCAAATCCATAATATTGTAACATTTTCCTAATTAGTATTGTAAATAAGAAAAGTTACGTGTTAGGACAGGAATGACATACCAAATTATGTCATGAATCAACCTAAACCAGGGGACAATGACTGAATCATTAAATTAATAACATACTTGTAGATGACAAATTAAAATCTATAACTGTCATGCCAAACACACCTAACTTGGAACACCTATATTTTTAGAAACTCAAATCAGTCCACAAAAATTCCCTTACTTGTACAGGTTAGTTAAAGTAGTTCAGCTCCAAAAACCACTTCAAATCTACCTTACTGTTTCCCTCCAAATCTCTAAAACCCCTCCTCCTATATATCATCTGCATTTCCATCAATCCCAAATCCATCTCAAACCCTCCAGTAAATACCATCCAATTTTCCTTCAACACCATTTGTTTGGTCTTTTTCCTCAAAACTCATGGAAGGGTCCACAAATTTCCTCTCACTCATTGCAATAATATCTGCAACAATGTTAGTTATTTCAGTTAAGGGGCAGCTTGGCACTCCATGCACAACCTCAATGGTCAGCAGCTTCACCCCATGCTTGAATTACATCACTGGAAGCAGCAGCAGCGGGGTTTCACCGGCAACTGGGTGTTGCGATGCAGTGAAATCTCTCATGAGCGGTAGCATGGATTGCGCTTGTCTCATTGTAACCGGGAATGTCCCTTTCTCACTGCCCATTAATCGAACACTGGCAATCTCACTCCCGCAAGCATGTAAAAGTTCTGGTGGTTTACCACTTCAATGCAAAGGTGAAAATTTTGTGTTAGTTAAGGGATATTTTATGCAACATTTTTTGAAAATTTGCATCCTTGCATCCTCTGTCAATGATTAAGTTGTTAATTTAGTGATCATATTGAGACTTGTTTAATTTCTGATCATGTATTTCTTTATATTTTGCAGCTAGTGGTGTTCCGCTACCAGCTCCAGGTACCACCGGGAAGTTAACGAAATCTGTGGTTACTTTCCGCTTCTAATCTGAAGTATATATATGTACATATATGTATACGATGTATTTTGATAATTTTTTCCGCTCCTTAACTTTTTCGTAAATAATTGAATATCCTGAATTACATAAGGAGTGCGCTAGTCTCGAGATAAAAAAAAAATCACATCCGTCAAGTTCAGGAAATTATTCAATATTTTCGCAGTATCACGTATCTGTACTTTCTAACCAATCATTATTGAATATGCCTTCTCAGATTTTTCAATCACGCAACACAATATCCACCTATCTACATTTTCTACCAATCATAATATTATAAAATACCACATATTTATATTTCAAAATTACTGAATAATTATCCGTTACGTTCAATCTACTGGGCTCAATGGTCCCGTCCGTTAGATTACTTGTGAAAATTTTCAAATTTATCCTATAAATGCACCCACATGATTTGATAATATTTATTTTTTAAAAAATGAGCAATATATTTTAAAAAATCATTTTTATCATCCATTTTATCATTATTAAATTAATTTAATTTTTTAAATTGAAAATTTTAAAAAAAAATTATAAAAATAAATAGATCAAATTATTAAAGTTGGCCCAAAACACAGAACCTTCGTTTGACATTTTGATTATTTTAGCCTGAGATTAAAAAATTTTGTTTGGGATAGGCTTTTTAGCTTTGTTGACTTTTATGAGAAAAAAAATGAAATGATTATGATTTAGATGTGAAATTTTTTAACCTGAGACTAAAAAACTTATTTTGCCTTTTTATGATTATTTTAGCTCCAACCAAGTCTAACTCAACTTCCCAAACGAGTGATAAATGGTCCGGTTACGTAATATAATAGAGTATTAAAATGAAAAAGTCTGCTAAAAAAGATTTGAAAATTGGCAGGTCCAGTTCAATTTGGTCCGACTAGCTCACCTCTTTCACCTGATGCTTCTGCTCCTTTTAGTCCCACAGGTAATGTACACAAATACTTGTCGCAATTTTCAATTTATTATATTTTAATTTTATTTTTATAATAATCGGGTGTCTACGCCAATTTACCTTGACTAATTTTAAGACTCTAAAGTTAATGATCGTAGCTCTAATTAATGTAATTAAGGCATTAATTTTCTTGATTTAATTCCCTTGTTTTGTGAGCAGCTTCAAAAGCAGCAGAAATGGCTTCACCACCAGTTGATGACACAACAACACCAGCATCTCCGCCGGTGAGTTTGGTAGCTCCAAAAGCAACACCTGGTATTCGACCAGTCGTGACTCCAACCTCGACCTCAGCTTCTAATCCATCCTACATCCCCTCACCATTTGTCCTGCTTGTATTCATCGGAATCATATATGGTTTTTAAGTGCTATTAATTTTTCTCTTGATAATAAAAAAAAAAAAAGCGTCATCTTATGCTTCTTTGTGTTTTTCTGTTCATGCGTTGGGCGTTGAGTTTTGCTGCTATCAGTAAATCTGTAGTCATGTCCTTTCGTTCTAATTTATGCCATTTTTTATTCTGTTTTAGAAAAACATGAGTTACCATAAAATTAATATATGATACTTATAGTCATATGATTTTATCAGTTGGAGACAAGCCAATCTAGGCTTAACAACTTAGCTCACTGCAACTTCGAGCTCATCCCCAAGAGACTCTTCTCCCTCTTCCCTCCCCTCAAATATCTTATCTATACTCCTTCTGGTCCTAAGGAAATGTGATCGTAATACCCTTACCAAGATGCCAGAAGTGAAACTGCTTAGGAGCTCAATTTCTTGAGAAGTGCAGAAGTGCTTGTTGGGCTAGATAGCAGGTAGCTACTATACAAAGAACTAGTCTCGCTGAAATCAAAGAACCATCACAAAGAGAGACCACCACACAGTCTAGGCACCATTCACAGTGGAGTGGAAGCCTGCAGCTGGGTTTTGCTCGGTGGCTGGGCCAAATACCCCTGTTTGCATCGCAGAGAGAGGAACAACACAGAAGTGCCCTTTACCTGTTCGACAAAATGCCCCAGTGAAACCTTGTCACTGTGCTGTCATATGATGATTAAGGAGAAAGAGAAAGAGAAAGAGAAAGAGAAGGACAATGAGAGGGACAGAGAGGGTAGTAAACTATCATTGAAGAAGGGCAAACTAGCCAAGAGCAAACTAGCCAAGAGTAAATCAAAAAGCAAATCTTCGACTAAGGTATCTTTGAAGGAGTTTGTAAATCAGGTGGATCAACTATCTACTGATGATATGCCTAATGTCCTCCCCCGCCGGTCTACACGCATTCGAGGCCCCCCCAAATCTCTTTCACTTGGAGATTTTGTGGGACCGTGGCAAGGGCCCTCAAATGTAAACAAGAGGGGATTGAGGGACGTAGATTCGGAGGATAGCTCAATTGAGTGTGATTGTGATCTTGGTACAACACAGTTTCGCTGGACTGTGGAAATGCAAGCCTCACCTGAGCAATCACCAAAGCAGCATCAAACACCTAATGCATGGAACACACCAACTAGAGTGCTAACTGATGTTGAGCAGTGGCCAAAATTGACCACTGTGTCCCCATTGGTGGCAAACGAAATGATGTTGTCAAATAAATTTGGCTCACTTAGTGCTGATCAAAGGAAAGAAGTAATGGGTTCCAAGCAACGAGAGAGTGATAAGCCCGTGCGAGCTTGTCGAAATGAGGATTCGGTTGATCTACATATGGAAGATGGTAGTGAAGGTCTGGATACACTTGCTATATCAGGTAAACCTCTACAAGTTGGGAGCTCTTTAATTAAAGAAGAGATTAACAAGGTGTCAAAATTGAAGTATAAAATAGGTGCCCATAAGATTGAGAACCAAGCAGATGGCATTTACAATGTCCCTATTGAGATCTCAAAAAAAGGCTTTTCTCATTGGGAAAATGCTTTGGTTGGATACTTCATTGATAAAAGATTCTCTTTCCATTATGTGAAAACTTGGGCGGAGAAACTTTGGGGAAATTTGCTTGAGGACGTTGTCTCCATTGACAATGGTTTTTTTATTTTTAAAGTAAAAAGTGAAGAGGCTATGGACACAATCTTGGAAGATGGCCCCTATTATGTTGGGGCTAGATTGATTGTTATTAAAAAAATGGCAACCTGGACTAAAACTAACAAAGTGTGAATTTTCAAGTGTGCCATTGTGGGTGAAGTTGTACAATGTTCCTTTGGAACTTTGGAGTGAAGAGGGTTTGGGTTACATAGCTAGCATCTTGGGAACTCCTCTTTATTTGGATGAGCCAACTTTCAAGAGAAGCAGACTTACGTTTGCGAGAATTTGTATTGAAGTGCCAGCAAATAAAGAGATCCCTAAGTCTTTCAAAATAAATCTTGGTTATGGTGACCCATATGTGATTCAAGTTGAGGTACCATGGAAGCCCCAAAGGTGTGATGGTTGTAAGACTTTTGGCCATACCACTAATTTGTGCCCTCAAAAGCCAAAGTCTTTGAACCCTCCCTCCTTCAAACATGAGTGGAGAGTCAAGGACACTAAAACACAAATTTCGACTAAATGGGAAGTGGTGAAGAAAAAGGGGAGAGATGGTGGGCAAGGTTCAACGCCATTGATCAACAAAGAGAGAGAGACGCAGTCTTCTATCCCTTCAACATCTAATGCCTTTGATGTCCTTGAATCGTGTGATATGGACAAGTTAGGAAATGGAGATTCAAGTCAAGAGTTGAGAAATAGAGGGAGTCCATCTCCAAGTGATCCTAGTTATGTGGAGACTTCAAAAGAGGATAACAGAAGAAAACTTAAAGCGAAACTTCATGACTTGAAGAATGCTAGAAGGAAATTCTGAATCCTTGTTTTGTTGGGAATGTTGTACTTGTTTTCTATAAGCTCAGTTTGTTTTTTTTTGATGGAGTAGTTTATTTTGTTTATTTTTGTGCTCCCATCAAAAGCTGTGTGTTGAACTTCATTATATATTTTTCTTTTTTGGTTATAATATGACTTACTTATCCAAAAAAAAAGCCAATCTCTAGGAAAATTTAAGGAATTAGAACCAAAAAGAATGTAGAGCGATCAAATGATTGAGATTCAATTTGTGGTAAAAAAATTCACATCCATATCTTCTACAAATCTCCCTCAGAAACATTTATTCGTATTTATTTTTGTTAAATGAAGTGTTTGACGAGATCTTCAGTCCCCATCTCACATATTCTTGTCACGTCCAAAATTTAGACAATTAAATATTAAATTAGGACTAAACCCCAATCAATATTCCATCATCCAAATCATAGGAGTGAAACAAAAAAACTAAATGCCAACCAAACCATCTACCATAATTCCATAACTAATCAATATCTCCAACATTAAAGTAACAATAAATAGTCAAAATAATTTAAATAATGTATGGTTACAAACCATGCCAAATTATCCAAATACTAAAGTTATAAAAAAATAATAAATACATAAACTAATATCAACCCTAAGCTCAAGAAAACAAAAAGAAATTCAAGAGATATGTCCAAAAACTACAGTTACTCCACGTTATCACCGTAGCCCCAACTAATCCTGCAAAGGAAGCTCGGCTGCACTCAAACAGAATGCACCCGAGTTGCCAAGAGACAAAACGGGTCAGTATACAAGTATACTGGTATGAGTACAAGATTTAACACCCACGTGTCCACCAGACACAAACAAAAATACATTTAATTCTTGTTACGGGACAAGACAAGTAGTTCCAACTGCACTGAGACGAATAGGTAGTTTTCTGAGATACGATAGCATTTAGTTTCTTGCCCGTACACCACGAAATATAAATTGATTATAAAATAATCAAAATAGAAATAAAAATATAGTGGGTTAGCCCTGCATAAAAAAAAAAAGTTAGTAAGACCCACCATCCTGCAAAAAAATAAAGTTAATATAATTTAATTATAACTAACTTGCTGAAGAAGTATGAAAATGCACCGTTTCATACTTAAATAATTTGAATTGACCAAAACTCAAAAAACAAAAGTTGTACAGAATCAAATTTCTTACAAGACTACGTGAACGAATTTAAAAGAAACTGAATAGGTTGAGAGAAAAACTTGATAGAAGAACCTAAACGAAATTCACCTGAAAAATCTGAAGCTGAAAACGAAAAGAAACTACCCTAAGATGATTTTTTTCAGAAAAGTTCCAAACACGTTCTGAATAATGTTTTACTTCAGTTTACGCAAAACCAATAAAATGAGCTCGTTCCGTAGGTTAAAACAGCCTCTAAAATCTGCATTGCTAAAATGAATCAAAATTACAATAACTAAGATCATCCGATTATAAGTTCTAATTGATCTTTTTAATAAAAAGTTAAAATACAAAAATTGTCTAGAATCACGTATATATGCCTCTGCTCAAATTTCATAATTTATCGAGGTCGTTTACTTTTTTTCAAGATGAACAAATCAATACAATTCACATCATACTAATAAACTCGTAATTAAATTCTTTGTACCTTAACTCCATCACTTCAGCCTTCACTTCCGGCCTACACATATATCCCATGTGTCTCTCGTATACCTAACACCGTTCCGAAGCCAAACTTGCACGGGGGTATCGTCCCGAGTTTGACCTACACTCCCCGGATGGTTAGCATATACGTACGCGCGTAAATCAAACTTGTCTACTCATGAGAACGAGGCAACAATATACATATACAAAACATCCCACTCATGAGAACAACATAACAATGCCAAGCCTAAAGCATTCAAATAAATCTCATAATCTTCACTTCTTTTTATACATACACTCTTTCTCACAATCACTCAAATAAAACAAAAATCTATGGAGTCATGATGGAGTATAAGGAATTTATCTATGAGTTCCTAATTTATTTTAATTTCATATAACCATGAGTGTGATTACAACCATAAAATAAATCCAGATAAAAACCCTAAACATGGCATACACAACTAATCAAAATAATTAAAATCAATCAATCAACTAATAACCCTAAACCTTACATACACAACTAAACAAAATAATTAAAATCAATCAATCATCTAAAAACCCTAAACCTTACATACACAACTAATCAAAATAATTAAAATCGATCAATCATCTACATGCAAATATGAAATCAATTCAACATCAAATAAATAAAAATAAATAAATAAAAACAACGAATTAAAACTAAATCAAGGGAAGTGGGTTTTGTAATCACAATATTTTTTGAAGATCAAAGAATTATTTAAAGAACTAATGGAGCCACCAAAACAAGAATTAAATGTATCTTTATTTGTGTCTGGTGGACACGTGGGTGTTAAATCTTGTACTCATACCAGTATACTTGTATTTTGACCCGTTTTGTCTCTTGGCAACTCGGGTGCGTTCTGTTTGAGCGCAGCCGAGCTTTCTTTGCAGGATTAGTTGAGGCTACGGTGGTGACGTGGAGTAACTATAGTTTTTGGACATATCTCTTGGAT